AAAATAGGATAGGTATACAGCTACTTTCTCTTAGTTCAATGAGGACAAAGATTTATACTAACAGTGCTTAGAGAAGATATCATGTCTGCATCTTGCACTCTGAATAACTATTACAAAGACAAAAATATGCAATGTATTAATTATTGTAACTGCCCTACTAACCTGCTTTGAAACTGTCTCATTGCTATTTCTTTCTCAATGAAATTAATATAAATAAAGGACCATTTTGTATTGAAAAAATATATGTATATACAAAATAGGATAGAAATACAACTACTTTCTTTTAGTTCAATGAGAAGAAGGGTTTGTACTAATATTGTTCACACAAGATATCATGTCTGCATATTGTCCTCTGAATAACTACTATGAAGACAACAATATGCAATGTATTAATTATTGTAACTGTCCTACTAACCTGTCTTGAAACTGTTCCATTGCTATTTTTTCTCATTAAAATGAATTTTAAAAGTTTAAAAAATAACTTCTATCTTGATCTTTATAATTTCTTTCCTTATGATAGCTTAGACTTTGGATTGTTCTTGTTTTTCTAGAATGTAAAAGTGCATCATTAGGTTCTCAACCTTGTTCTGTTTTCATTAAGTGGGAATTCACTACCCTGAACTTCCCTCTTAGGAATCATTTTATTGGACCTCATAGGTTACAGTATATCAGACTGGCACTGTCATTTGATTATAGCAACTAATTCATTTTTAAATTTAATTTGTTACCTATTGATTATTCAAAAAATATTGTTTAATTTCCATATTTTGGAATAGCTTATATGAATTCTTCTGCCAATGATTTCTAATTTCATTGCACTATGATCTGATGATATGCACATGGTAATTTTGGTTCTTTTTCCACCTTAACCATGCCTTATTGACTAGTGTATCCACTGTAGAGAAACTCCCTGTACTACTGAGGAGAATGTGTATTCAATTGCTTGATGGAACATTCTGTAGACATTTATTAAGTCCATTTGTTTGGAGATTTTGTTCAACTTTCATATTTTTCTATTGATATTTGTCTACTTGATATGTACATTTGGGATAGTGAGCTATTGTTCTTGTGCATTACTATTGTATTGGTGTTTATTGACATGATTTTTCATGTCTATTGGTGTTTGTTTTATGAAGTTGAGTGCACCAGTATCTGCTGTGTATATTTTTATAATTGTTAACTCTTCCTTTTGAATTATTCCCTCAACTAATATGTAGTGGCTTTCTCTGTCTCTCCTGATCAGTCTTACCTTGAAATCTATTTTGCCTGAAATTAAGATAGAAAATTCCAGCCTTTTTATGGGTTCTCATTGCATAG